CTGTGCTCACCGCCCGCCAGCTCCAGGACGGCTGCTCCCTCCAGAGCCCCGGTCGAAGCTCACATGCATTTCTCCATGCAGGGGCTTGCTCCTGCCTCCTGGCCAGGCAAAGGGTCGCTGGGCCCGGGCTCGCACCCAGGGGTGCACGTATCCCGACGGCGGGCAGCTTTCCTCCATCACCCACCCTTCCCAGGCATGTCCCCTCCCGGTAGCGGCAGGACTCTGCTGTCACCACTTGCTATTGTGCCTTTTGCTCACCAGCTGGTTCGATTCCAAAGGTCTAAGGATGGTGAAAATGATAATCCAGAAATATTTCTCACCTTCATCTCCTCCTGCGCTCCTTCCCCGGCCCCTTCCCGACCTCGCGTTTCAGGATCTCGGCTCTCCCAGCAGCGCTGGGGTGTCTGAGCGAACGGCTCCTGTTGGAGTTTGCCTCTCAAAGGCACATTATGTGAGTGATTTACTGTAATCTTTTGTGGACAGGGGTTGAAAGCCGGTGCAGACCCTGTTTACCAGTCAGTACCATTAGTATTCAAGGTCTACCTTTTTTTTTTTTCCTTTTTTTTTTTTTTTTTTTAAGTTTGCTGCTATGGGTTGGAGTGTTCAGCCGTGTGTCAAACAGCCAATTAAAGGTTTGTCACTTGTCATTTTCTAAGGGGTTTCCAATGTGGAAAGTCCTGCAGTATTTGTATATTGAATGGATATTTTCTCCAGGCATAATCTGGTTAAGCATACTTGTTGTTTTCCATTGGACTGGAAGAGGTGGCCAATTCAGCCATCTTCCCTAGAAACTTAGTCTATTTTTCTATATATATTTTGTACCAAAAAAACTGGAGTTCGTGGAGGGATGGGGATGGTTCAGGGGGTTCAGTTGGCTTTGAGTTTCTGAGTTGGGTGTGAAGGGCTCCAGAGCCAGAGAGAAGGTTTTTACTGAAAGAAATTGAGGGATAGGTGAAAACAAACAATTGTTCTTGTAACTTGTGCCAGTCACTGGTCTGATTTGTATGTTTTAATTAAAGAGAGAGCCAAATCGTTCCTGTATGACACTTATAATTGCTTTAAACTACAGCTGTTTGTTTGCCTTTATTTTCAGAGAACAAAAGTTGGAGATGTTATTACCCTGGGAAAGTTTAAGGGCTTTGTTGAGCAGGACAGGCGCTCGGCCCGCCGAACGACGCGGGGCCGCGGTCGCTGCTCCCCCCGGGGCCTCCGGTCGCGCTGCCGGCACCTCGCTTGCGTCGTGTGCGGTGTTTTCTGGTGCTTCTGGACGCTAACACTAGCGTAGACCCACGACCTCTAGGCTGTTTTTTAATTTATTTGCCGGAAAACACTAGGAGATGGTTACGTCGGGCGGGGTGGGTTTTGTATAACTTTTCCACTGCTCTTTTTTAGCATATCAATAAATATTTTTTTAAACTTTTCAGCCTGGTGTGGTCACTACTCTGAGAGCGGCTCCCCCC